TTGTATTCCTTTGAAGGCACCAGGACACGTGCTAGCACAGGCTTCGTTTAAAGCCATGACTTATTTGTACCTTTCATTTTCCATCATCCTCAGGAGGTAGTTTTGGACCTTAGTGCAGATGCGGCCTTGTACAAGCACTGTATTAAAGTCCCCAGTTTATCTGGGGGCTTTAATTAAAGTCCCCATTCATAAGCATACGTCTGTTACTGCTCAGACCTTTCTAGTCCAGAGAAAAGCACTGCTCTCCAAAGCTCTTTGGGTTTGACCGAGACACCACTGAAATCAATAAACCCTTTTTACCTGGACCATGCATCTTACATTTCTCACGGTTTATGTAACCTGAACATAAACAAACAGAACAGCATGTATGTGCATGCGTTTGTGATCAGTGAACCCAGCCTCTAAGTAATTCTTCTGATTGCTTTTGTAGAAGGAGGATGGGTTCCTTAAGATTTTTGAAATATTTGACAGCTAAGTGGAAACTAATGCCAAAAAATCAGTACGTGAGGGAGCGGTTGTTTGCAAGTTGCACAGGGCAGGACAAGGCTCTTTGTCTTCCTGTCCTGCAAAACCAGCTCACTGCTGTCTACATCCTCATATTCATGCTATGTTTCCGGATCGCATGTTCTTTGTGCATCTCTAATACCCAGTCTTTCATGTGCATCCATACAGCTAAAAGTCTTCTCCAGGAACTCATCACCACACATCCTGATTACTGCTGCACCCTTTTGTCTGGCCTGGGGCAGCCTTGCCTCGGCTGTTTCTGCTCAGCTTTCTGAACTAGTGTTTCCCTGCCCTGTTGCTTTGACCATGTTACACTCCTGGGTGTCTAGGAGTCAGCTTTTACCCCTGATCAGCCCACAATGACAGACTTCTCCGGCTGCATCTTCAAATAACTATCATGCTTCTTCCCAGGCTGTTCACTTGCCATAAACATCCTCAAAATGCCACTGCACTGTCTTCCTTCCACTCTACGTCAGAGTTTTTTTTTCCCACAACGCCACTTGGAAAGAGTTATGCTCCGTGGATACTGCGACCTCAGGCTGCCAGATCACTCAGTACTATCTGCTTCCTTGTACTTCTTCTCTGCCCGTGCCCGCCTGTTGCTCCTTACCTTATATGTAGACTGTAAAATCTCTGGCAAGGGATACATTTTGTGCTGAGTGTTTAAATCACCTCTCTTCACAGCCTCTATGGCAGCACAGATAATCTTAACACAACATAGAAATATAACGTTTATCTTTGGCAAACAGTGTTTTCTTATATCCCTCCTGAATATTTGGGTGACAGTTCAGATAACTGCACGTGAGTCTTCTCTGCAGCTCAGAAACACAGTTAACACGTGGCGCAGCATGTTGCAATAGCTCATGCTAGCTGCAGAAGGTCAGTAGGTCACAATGACTTAAGTCAACATTGCCAGAAGCCTTATGGCTGATGCGGTTAAGTAAAATAAGTGCTACACCGCATTTTGTTTTTGCCAGCCAGGTGCGTGAGGGTTTGTGTTTATGCTGATCACGGTTCAGTTATCCATTTTAAAAAATATAGGCTTATTTTGCTACCTGAACCTTCAGAATCTGAAAGCTCTTCCCGTCTTATTAGATTCATTCAGACTCCAGTGAAGACTTAGCTTGAATTAGGTGTACTTATCTGCAATGACCAGCATGGAAAGATGGGCAGGCATTTCACTGAGGTGCATGGCAGGAGAACAAGTGACAGAGGTGATAAATTGAAGGCTCCAACTGGATATAAAGAGAAAAAAAAATCCCTATGAGGATAACAAAGCCCAGAGAGGAGGTGGAATTTCTGGCCTTAGAGGTTTTTCAAGACTTGACTGGACAAAGCCCTGTGCAATCTGATGCAAACTCAGTGCTGTTCCCACTTTGAGCAGGAGGCTGGAGCAGAGACCTCCCAGGATCCCTTCCAACCCGAGAGATTCTGTAACTTAAAGAATTTGGGGTGGTTGGCTAAGGAGGAAACTGGAGGAAGCCATGTTCGCCTGCAAGTGTCTAAAGGAGAAAAATAATATTCTGCTCTCCTACAAGAGAGGTGCGCTTAAATTGCAGAAAGAAAAACTTAGGTTAGATGTGAGGAAAATCTTTCTAATGTGAAGGATAGCAGAGCCCTGGTATCGACTGCTTAGGGAACAGAAGATGCCTGCAACAGCTGAGGTCTTTAAACTTAAAGACCTCCTTTGAAAAACCCCCGTTACAAATGGTGTAAGTACAGTCAACTGTCCCTTGGACAGGGAAGAGGACTAGCTGATTTCATGGGGTCCTTTCAGCTCAATTTTTCTCCAGTTCTGATGTATGCCACAAACCTTTTCATATTCATGTGTGTAAAATAATGGGTCTTATTCTACATGGAAAAGTTTTCCAATGATACTGATAGGAAATCTCCAAAAAAGAAAAATTTTTTTCTTAGCTTTATGTAAATCACTTCCAACACAATTTAACCTAATTGGGTGTGGGGGGGTGGAAGATTGGCAAAAAGATTGGCAGTTTTCACTTACTGACTTTAAAAATTATCTAGGCAGAGTTCTCAGCCTTCTATTGATCATCACTAATTTGAGTTTTGGAGAAAAAAAAACATGGTAAAGTCATTATGTGCTAGCGTCCTTGGTTTTGTTTGCATAAGCAGACCTTCCCTGCTAAGCCTGTGTAGTCTACCGAACACTGGCTTCACAGACAAAGCAATTCTTCTTTCCAAGGCTGATTAGTAGTGACTGTGAATTTTAAATGGATTAAGTAAAACAGAGCATCAGGTTTTGAACCGTTTGACTGTTTGTTCCACGGAGAGATATTTTCCCTGATGACTATCAAAAGTCTTTTAAACAATTAACCCCTTTCTCCCAACAATTTCCGTTCTCCGGAAGAGAAATCAAACAAAAATACTGTGCTTTGTGAAGCTACCTTTATGCATGAGATGCCTTCATTGATATCTTGCCAATGGGAAAACGCTTGGGTGGCAACATCCAAGCACGTCCATTATGAGAGCTCTGCTGGAAGATCAAATTTATTGATTGAGAATTGCCAGTCCCGTTCAGGATTTCAGAGGTTAGGGCTGGAGTCTGTGTCTTTCAACAGAAAGATAAAATGAACTTGGTATGGTCAAATCTTACCGGAAAAAAAAAAAAAAACCCTCTTGACGCACGTTATCAGTGCCACTGGAATGTTTCTATATCGCAGTCACCTTAGGGTTGTCCTCATCTTTTTGGAATAACAGAGAGCCTTGGGGTCCTGCTGAGACTGAAGCCCTCCCCCTTTTTTCCCCCTGTACTAAATGCCTTGTAAACACATAGTAAAAAGAAGTGTCTGCTTTCAAAAAGTTTTAGCCCAAGGGAAAAAGAAAGGTGCATAAATGATGGTAGGTGCAAGCGGGGAATGTTATTATCCTTCTATAGATGAGAAATAGGTGAAAATCACTTGTCATTAGGGAAGGCTGTAGCAAAATCTGGAAAATGAATTTATATCTCAAGTCCTAGTCCAGTGCTTACCTACAAAAACATCTTCTAATATCTTCTCAAAAATATCTTCTTATTAATACACGCTTACTGCACTCGGCCACAATTCATCCTCAGCCCAGACCTTGCCTGTGCTCTCTGTTAGACAGCAGGGGAAGAAAACCGGAATGGAAATAACTTTGCAGGTGATATGAATGTATGGTACGACTATATGCCTTTCCTTCAGAAAAAGCAGAACTCTTATCTTTACAGTGAAGATGTTCCCCTAAAACAGTTACCTACATGTTTTACACGTTTGTAAAGGATCAAAATAAATCATCACTTTTTTTTGAAAGAAAGCATTAGAGCAGCTCTGGCAAAATGAAATTTGGTCTCAGTGGGATTTCTTTGCGGTTAAAGATTAAGACGAAGCCCTTATTCTTTTATTACTTATTGAGCAATTATCCTTGTGCAAATGTGTTACATCAAAAATTAGTTAAGGAAAGCCAGTTATGACATGGTTTCCCTGTGAACCATTCCCAGTGCAGACCTATCTGGACTTAATCTTGGATACACTTAAGACTTTTATCAGTTACAGAAAACATACCACAGCCAAACAACTGCAGGCGTGTGACAAGTGGGTCAGAGGACAAGAACAGTGCAACTAGATTCTCTCCTTCAGTCACCTTAGTAAGAAGGCTAGTACCTTAAAGACTGAAGAGGGAAAAGAGGAGTAAAAATATTCCCTCCCTACAAATAATTTAAAGTGCATTGAGCAATACTTTCAATACTTTCGGCAGGTCAGGCAGATTTTTAATTATCTTCTGCCAGGAGAATAAAAGAAGTTTGCAAGGTTGCAGTAGTGGATGAGGAAATAAGATTGTCTAAACTGAGATAACAAACATACAACATGACTGAAGAAAAAGGAACTGCATGGCTACAATTTTTCCAGGCTGCAGCCATTCCAGATCCCGCTGCAGTGAAATTTAGAACAATATATAAAGAGAAACTGTCACAACATCTTTTTCAACACCCTTTTTTTTTAAAAAAAGAACAATCTCTTAGGATGTGTGTCTCACATAAAACGCTTACTGCAACCGTTGGCTTATTGGTAGAAAAGTGGGATGCACCTCTTCTATATGAGCTACATAAAGACTTTGTCACAGCAAGATCACTCAGCAGTACTTTGCTACCTGGATCATTTTAGCTTTTTTTGAAGACCAAAAAAACTTATCTGAGGAGCAAGAGACATTTCATTAGTTCCGGATACTGTATTTTCAGCACTGTTGATGCTCCATCACACTTTTGCTCTATAATCTTTCATATAACTTCACATTCCTTATTACAATTATGTCTCCTCTGATTCCATTTCTGTGCTGTTAAACTGAGTATTTTCTTGATAGAGGGTAGTGGATAAAGGTTTCTGAGAAACTCAGCAAGCATATGAACAGCTTTATACCACAGGCCTTTTTGAGTTACTATGTTTAAAATAATTTGTGTTTCCAACTGGCAATAAAGCCATTTGTTTCCTATCAGTTATTTCACCTTTTTCTAAAGGGGATCAGCCATAGCAAAAATCATTGGCAACAATGTCCAGAAGTCCAACAGATTTGATCCCATCGTCAAGATGTGGGTATTTGAAGAGATCATCAATGGAAGAAAACTCTCGGAAATAATCAACAGTGAACACACAAATGTGAAATATCTTCCTGGTTACAAGATACCTGAAAATGTGGTAAGTTGACTAAATCACTGAAATATTGTTTATTGTTTTTTTACAGTTAATAGGGGAGGCAACCTCTGACAAACTGATTTACCTGTTTTGTAAAAGAACATTTCAGGTGAATCCAGCAGCAGAAACTGTGAGTGGAGGGAGTATCAGCTCTCTCTGACGATTCGATTATGAACTCCAGATTACTTGAACTCTGCTTGAATTACAAATACTCTCTCTTATTACCTGTTAATACCAGGTACTTAATTATTTAAGTAGGAAGCAATCCATTGCATCTGATTTGCCACCTAAGTCACTCCAGTTTTTTGAAGTATGCTGGAGCATAACTCACTTCTATGACTTTTACTTGTCTCATATCAAGCTTATAACTTCAAACATCCAACTGGTAACACAATACACCATCTCCATTTTCTGGCATACCTCAGCACGTCTGTCTGCCATTTCTAGAGCTCTGTCTAGACAGAGCTGAGATATTTCAAACCCAGAGAATCTATTGGGGGGGGGGTTGCTGCTCTCCCTTCTTCTAGGAGAGAAACCCGCAGGACAGCTAACAGCCCTGGCTTACAACAAGGTGAACAGCATTGCTCCTGGTTCGTGGGTGATTCAGGATAGCAACATGTTGCTATCATTAATAATGCTGTAACCTCCACCAACAATAAGAGCTATTTAATTTTCATAGCTATTTAAAATACTATATTATTTATCACTGCCTAAATCAGCTTAGATAATTTACAGCTACTGAAGCAACGAAGGTGAGTTTTTCTTCTGCTCGAGTTTTTGCCAGCTGGCAGCGGTTTATGCATTAAAGAAAGCAGCACTGCGTTTCTCAAATAGTTGTAGTTGCAAAAGGAAGTTAAGACGCTGCACGTGACGGTGGTCTTGCTTGGTGAGCGGTTGTATTTAGCCCTACATTTAGTGCTGCAATCGCATAGCTGCGCTCCCACGGTCTGAACTTGGCACGCAGTTCTCCCGGGTTAGAGCTGAATTGCCATTGTTATTTTCACAGTGCTTTAACAGGTCAACAAGCTCGTGCTCTTTTTAGAGCGGCCTCATCCTATCTGTAGCAAAGGATCTGAGACTTTACCAGCAAAACTCAGCTAGTTGCAGCAAAGCCTGGAGAGGTCCCTCATCTTCCCACATCTTCACCTCCCACTGAGGAAAAAAAAAATCCTTTTTTCCTCACAGTTTCTCATTGTTCCTCCCCGTTCTGGCGAGACAGCAGCTCTGTCTGTGCAGTGCTGTCAGTGCAGCCCTCGGCTCTGGTCCTGTTTTGCCGTTTTCCTGGAGAAACAGCTTTGCTGGTAGCAGGTCTCATTCTGCTGCCAGGAATCACAGGTGCTCTAAGGTCACGTCCAAAGGCAGTATTTTCTCTGATTATGAACCGAGAGTGATAGCTGACTTAAATGCAGCTGCTGTTTTTCCTGTAACATAGGTTTAACTGTTCTTCTCAGTGACACTAGCATTTGGAGGAAGATACAGCTTGCTATCTACTAAGCACGCGGCATGAGCTTTTGTAACTGTTGGTCAAGTCACTATATTGAGGCACTATATTGTTCCCCCCTATATTTGAGGGGGGGAACAAGACAGACAATAAACAATCAACTCTGCCTTTTGATACAATTTATTGCTCAGTAACTGTCAGCAGGTTACCTGTGGAGAATAAAGGCTTCAAGAAAAGGCTGTGTTTGAGCGCGCTGCTTTGGTCCTTCGCTCCCTGGCGCTCCCATCCATTAAGTATCTTCCAGCACTGCCTTAAAAGCTGTACCAGCAAAGGGGCTTGCCTGGAGAATAGTGCAAGTTTAAAAAGCGTATTATCCTCCCAGGTTATGGGAAGCAAGCTTCAAAAAACAAAACAAAAACAACAAAACCCCCCAAAAAGCTAGGTTGCTTTGGCCATTTCAGGAGAAGGGCTAACAGTTACGTCACAGCCTCAATTAAAATTAAGTATATTTGCCGTGCCATCTGCAACGGCTTAGGTATGCTGTTATTTTGCAAGGCATGAGAGCTCTTAGCCGGTGTGAGAGGGCTCATTGCCATTGTCGCTCTTGTCTAGGTGGCTGTACCGGATGTGGTTGAAGCAATGAAAGGGGCGGACATTTTTGTATTTGTTTTACCTCATCAATTCATTGGACGAATCTGCGACCAGATCGCAGGTCGGATAAAACCCGGAGCATTCGGGATTTCGCTGATCAAAGTAAGTTGTCATCTCTACAAGGCTCGGTCTGTAAGGAGTAAATACATACGTTCAGCGCCTGGGTAGGACTCCAGCTCTCAGCTGCGTGCTCTGCAGAGACACGAGCATTTCTTTCTGCAGCTGCGAAGCCGTACGATGCCTCTGCCTGTCCTGCTGCTGCTCCTGTGGCCATGCCGTGAAAGGGGCTAGGAGTAACCATCTTCCTTAGCCATCTTTAGCCTGGATCCATTCCCATTTGGACTAGGATAGAGGTGAAAATGGGCAGAGAAAGGGCTTCATAAGCTGGTGCTGCCACCAGAAGAAACATTCATCAGACTAGAGCCTCCATTAGCTCCTGTCCAGGAAAAGCTCTGGCTCTCGGTGCCTAGTCCAAGCGCACGCTCCTTCGAAAGCTGTTCCTGGCAGCATTCAAGCTGCCAGCACTAATAATTTTGCAGAACCAAAGCAATTTCCATTCAGAATGAATTGGGTAATCTCTTTTTGCAGGTTAGATTATCATAATCTTAAAAGGAATTAATATTTCAGGAGACTCTCAAGCTAAAAGCTAGAGGCAAAGTGCAAGCATATAGTCTACTGCTCCTTCCGTTGATTGCATTACAGGAAATATCCAATTAAAACTTGAAGTAAAACAAATTTAATTCAAGTTTTCAGACTGCAGTACCCCAGCTCTTCCCTCTTTTTCTGTAGACATTACCTTGTGAGCAGCAGAACACTGAGGGCAGTGGTGGGAGGGGGGGGGAGAGGAGGAAGGAGTTTCCTGCAAATTGACTTTTCTTCAGCTCCAGGAAAACTGCAGCAGTTCAGTATGCTCTTTAATAGCAAGGAAGCACATAGAAGGATATTTAGATCTTGCAAAAAAAGCCACTGCTTCTAGGCTTAATTTCATAATTACGGTTCCATACTACAGGAGTTTAACACAAAGGAAAAATACAGCATAAAAGTGAATCCTAGGACAGCAGCACTGGACATAAGGCCTGTTTCACTACTGCAGGATTAACTCAATTAGGCCTGTTTCACTACTGCAGGATTAACTCAATTGTAGCTATCTTCTCCCTGAATTTGCCTTGGATTTGTAGTTAACAAAGTAAAAAAATCAGAGTATTTGTATTAATAGCGTGCAGCAGCACAGTTGTGCTTCTGTTGGTAGTGTCATCGTAGAGTAAGCCTGGGAGCTGATTTAAGGGTTACACTTGCATCATACCTGTGGGTAACGCTAGTGAATAGGAGCTGCAAATCCTTTCAACTAGAAACAGAGAGCTGCAGGCAATAGGACAGGTTCTGTTTTTACCAGGGCTCTGTTGCTGTTTTCCTATTCTAATAACTTCATTTTGATGATCGTCTCTTATTCAGGGGATTGATGAAGGTCCTGAAGGCCTGAGGCTCATCTCTAACATCATTCAAGAGAAACTGAAAATAGAAATTAGTGTGCTTATGGGAGCCAACATCGCCAAAGAAGTGGCTGATGAGAAGTTCTGTGAAACCACCATCGGTAATTATTGCAAATTACAGTCACCAGCTGTGATTTAACCTCACCTATGACTGGGAAACAGGATAGTGGGAAACACAGCAGTGGCATGCAACCTGCTACCTAGATGTGGCAAGTCCCGAGAGGCTGCTGATTGGTATGGTGTGTACAGCACGTGCTGAACTCGTTCAGGGAGGCAGCACAACTTTCAGGGCAGTTCAGTACTGGCATGATCAGATCCAAAACGACAGCACATTCCAGTGCTGAGAGCTGTTAGCTAAGTCCATCCATTAAAAAATTACAGCGTAATCCTATTCCTGTAGAATTTAGCAAGAGACATTTGCTAATGTGCGTAAAGCTCAGTTCTGACTTCTTGGGCAGCTGATACAGCAGACCGTTTAGACAGATGGAGAAATCCACCTTGGGGAGGGCGAGCACATGCAAGCTTCTGATTGCACTTTATCTTCAGATTTCTCTGTAAAAGAAACAAACTTTCTGTTCTTCCCTCGCTTTCAGACTGCTGCCAAGACACAGCCCCAGACCGTCCCAGAACTGGGCCTGACCTCACTTAGAAAGTTCATCCAGTAGCTTACAAAACCCATCGATTTTAAAAATCAGCAGAAATTGAGTTACGCTCAATAGCCAGTGAAGACATAATGAATCCGTGTTGCAATGCTGTTCCATTGCCACGCAAAGGTTATAATAATAGTGAAACCGTACCAGCTGGGCAGATGGTGCTGGCAGAGTGATCGGACCTGAACAGGACTAGACATGATTAGGAAAGTTAGGCAATAGGCATTGCCTGGGGGTGAGTTTAACCTCTGCTGACGCAGTTTTTAGCCATGCTGTGATAATAAATCTGCAAAGAGGTTTTCCCCTTGGTTTGGGTGCCTCAGAGGAGTTTCCCATAAGGGAAGCCACATAGCCCAGAAACAATCACCTCAGAGAGACAGGGTATCCCCAAACATCGACCCGTGCAAAGGAAGAGGAGCAAACATGGAGTTTCTGGTGAGACAGGGCAGAAACCCCATGGCTACCAGGGTGCTGTTGCCCAGGCTAGCAAAACTCTTTACGTAGACCAGGAGTAACTGCCCAAAATGCCAAGAGCCAGAACCACTCCAGGAGCAACAACTGGAAACGGCTACAGCTACCGAGCGCTGAAGGAACCAAAGCCACCTTGTATAAAAACTAACTGAAACTCCACTCAAAAGCCATTGCCCCACTGGTCAAGCACCCTTTGGATAGAGGCAAACCTCAGGCCCGTTATCACTCGGGGCACTCTACCCTTCTTCTCAATACCTAGGGCATAGCGTTGCAATGACACGATGCATGAGCTTGGGGGAACTGGCAACAAAACCGTTCCAGCAGTGCAAACGTTGAACTTCATTATCTGTGGGTCTCCCTCTAACCAGAAACTAATTTGCCATTAAGCATTTGCGCCCTGCATGAATACTTAGCAATTATACCACTACGTGTTTTTAAAGCGGCAATTATACTGTTGCGCTCTACAAAGCGATCTGTAAATATTACCCAGTTAACCTCGCAGCAGGGTGGTGCTCGGATTGACCGGACCTGCTCACGCTTGAGGCGTGAGTCAGCGGGAGCTTCGCGCGCCCAGCGCTCAGTGGACCGCAGCTGTAAGGCAGGGCTGCGCGAGGGGAAGGCACGCTTGAGCAAATACCCTGGGGAGTCTCATTTTTAATTAGGTTGGTCTCAGTTTAATCTCGTACAAGGTTTGTGGTTATACAAGCTTTCTCAGGTAGAAATCTGTGCGAGGGGCACGCATCTACCTTTAAGTGCTTTAAAGCGTTATTAGGCCGTGCTTAGTTAATGCACTGGGACTTGCATATGGTTACATTGGCTTCCAGCCGCATAATCTGCTGTCAAGTAAGAAACGTCGTCTTTAACGCCCAGCTATGCAGATCGCAAACCTAAAGTGGTCCCTGGCCCCTTACTTCCAAGTTTCAGTTGACTGTACGTATTACTTTCACCCTGAAACATCTGCAAAAACAGTATAACTTTCACCTTTCCTTCCCACAGGGTGCAAAAATGAAAAACAAGGGCAGATATTTAAAGAGTTATTGCAGACCCCCAATTTCAGGATTACCGTGGTGGATGACTGTGATACAGTGGAGATCTGTGGAGCCTTAAAAGTTAGTGATTTCAAGCCAAATTGTTTTTATGAGGACCAAATTCTGCCCTCACCTGAGTCATCTGGAAGTGACACGGTCTGATCTTAGTCCTGCCACTGTGCGACTGAGTGAGCTTGGACAACGCATACGCCAGTTTTCCAATCTGTAAAAATGGGAAAGTGTACTTAAAAACAAAACTGCTGGTAAAGGGTTCCAAAATGAACGTATTTAACTTCTGTTTCACCAGAGGCATCCCTGCTTTTGAGGGCAGAACTTAGTCCGCAACATTATCTTGTCCGTACACTGTAAGCGCATGGCACAAAGACTCTTGTTGCGTACAGCAGCTATCACTAGCAACTTGTTTCCAGCATTCAAGTAGCAACCCACTAGAGAGCGTGTGTCAGAGGTGACAGTCTGTGTCTCCTCCTGTTGCAAGCACCTTTGTTCAGCGTTCAGCAGTGCCCACGTAGAGCCGCCAAGCTGAATCAGAAGCAACACCAAAACAGTCAAGTTTGCGTTGAGGGGATACTTCCACGAGATTAAAAGTTTGCTTTTAAACCTACCAAAGGTGACCCCAGGCTACAGTTCAGTTGTACTTCCACAATTCACCTTTCCTTGGAGAAAGAGGGGGTTACTGCCTAGAAAAAATTGGCCCTGTTTAACCTAGAGGCAGTTTATTTATACACAGAAAGAAAGATCCAAAGATTTTTTTTTCCAGACAGATTGGCTGTCCTTAAAACCATTTCTTTGGCATTGCCTTTGCTAAAAAAGAGCACCGAGGTGCGTGCATGTCTGGAGGGAAATACTGCCGTTGAAGTGTTAGGTAACACATTACTGAAATAAAGTAAACTACAACACCTCTACATCAAAATGGGATTTCTGTGGCGGAAGGGTCGGCTTCTTCAGGGCCTGAAAACTGGGAGGGAGGCAAGCAGGAGGATGGTGAGGAGTTGTGAAGAAGTTTAAAGTTCCAAACAAGTGTCGAGGGATCCTAGAGAAGGCCAAATCCACTGATTATTCAGTAGGCAAAGTAGTAATAGTACCGATTATGCAGGGAAAAATCGATCTGTTGCAGCATCAGTATATAGAACAATGTCTGTTTAAATTACAGACAGGCAGAGAAGACCGAGAAAGGCATGGCTCAGGTCAGGATGCAAACGTAGTTCAAAGAAAAAGGTCAGCGCATCCCAACTTGGAAGCGGCAGAAAAGCAAAACATTAATTTCATGCAAGCTACATGATTATAATATTAAACAAGGTGCTTTGATTTTTGCCCTAGCAATAATAATGGATGCTTTTACAAAATCTTCTAGGAATCCAGTTACTGTTGTTTAACCACAGCTAGACGTTTAGCTTCTTTAACATAAACTCCCACCTATTGGAAATTGAACCTAGGACATGGTTCAGATGAACTGGGTAAAGACAGATTTGTGGACTTTTCTTGAATAGCAGTGTGCGTTGATGAACTGCATGTCTTATCTGATGATCTCCTTATCTGCATTTTTGTAATAAACTGTTTTTTAGAACATAGTAGCAGTAGGAGCTGGGTTCTGCGATGGACTGGATTTTGGCGATAATACCAAGGCAGCAGTTATACGGTTAGGCCTTATGGAAATGGTGGCCTTTGCAAAGATGTTCTGCAAGGGACCAGTATCAATAGCCACTTTTCTGGAAAGCTGTGGCATTGCTGATCTAATCACTACCTGCTACGGGGGACGCAACAGAAAAGTAGCTGAAGCCTTTGCTCGCACCGGAAAAGTAAGCAGGATTTTGAAATATTTTAAACCAAAGCATAAAGAAATCCTTCTGTGTTTCACACAGGCATCGTTAGCTGTGTACCTTCTTGATAACTGCTGGTGTCGCAGCAGCATTCCCTCTGATCCAAGTAATCGATCTCCTTTCTTCTAGTCCATTGAGCAACTGGAAAATGAGATGCTGAATGGGCAAAAACTACAGGGTCCTCAAACTTCAGCAGAGGTCTACAAGATCCTGAAACAGAAAAACGTGCTTGATAAGTAAGTGCTTTGATTTTAAAAACCTGAATTGACAGGCATGACCACAAATTATGAGTGATTCATAACATCCTTAATGGTACTTGTGTTCATCTGTCCTGCTCACTTCTGCATCAGCTGCTTTCTACGTGCTGAGACACCACCGCAGCTCAGCTCGGCCAGACTCCTCATTGCCATGATCAGTACAATGGGACAAAGGCCAGAGATCGTTAAAAGCAGCAAGCCGCAGACATACACGAGATGAAAAAACGCCGCAGTGGCTACCCAGACCTTACCAGTTCCCCCTATGCAAGGTTGGGGGGCATACACAGAAGCAGCCCGTGAAGGCGACCCAAGGGTGAAGGCGTTTCTTGTTACCAAATCGCCATCACAGCTCGCATCAGTACTGCTTTCAGTGTGAACATTAACTGGACTATCTCAGTACAAAACTCAGTATACTCCCAACCAAAACAATTTATACCCACTGAATAGGTATAAAGCACCGATATCGGTGTTTTAGTGCCACAAAATGGGCTAGTGCTTTGTTTGGGGTAATTTAAGACTAATAGTTTGAAGCCTTTGTCCCAGCTTATATAAGAGAAAAAAAAAAAAACAAAAAAATCGCCCCCTTCCCCGCTCTCCTCTCTTACGTTAGCAGTACTTGGAGTTCACATGCTGCTAAATGAATACTCTCTAAAAAAAACTTTCTATTAGAATTTTAACAAATACAGAAGCTTCTGGTGGTATTATATTTAAAATAAAAACAAAACCTCCTTCATTTTGACAGGACTGGAACCTTGAATCATAACTTGACCTAATAAGCATGCCTGTATTTACACTTAGTTGTGCGCTCAGTTCCAAGTCATTCAGTGATCTCATTTATAAACCATACGAAGATTAACAGAGCTGACACAAGTGCTTAAAAAAAAAAAAGGAAAAAACAAACCTTTAAATCATGAAAATAAAATCATTAGACGTTTTGGTTCTTTTTAGTCATTTAGATATCAGCAATGAATACAAATAATATGTATTTTGCACACAGGAAGAAAAGGAGGATATGAAATTCAAATGTTCAGTTATTGAAAACTGTGCATAGTCATTTTCTCTCCAAAACAGCTCTTCTCTGCTGTCATCCAAAACAAATTGGCCTTAATTCTTCCTAATTGCCCTAATTTCATTTCTACTTTGTTTCCTCCTTATACCAGACATTCATAGCCTTCCAGTAAAGTATATCCAAGTTTAAATTACATTGTAAGGAGAAATAATGTAACTTTCCTTTTAATGTAACAAAAAAAGATATTTCCAATACCTATATAATGGGGAAAAAAATATTGATGTAAATTTTCAAAAGCATTTTTATTGTTACATGCTTCTTTTAGGTTTCCATTATTCAGGAGCATCTACCAGATCTGCTACGAGGGTAGAGCAGTCCAGGATTTCATCTCGTGTCTGCAAAATCACCCACAACACATTTAGAAATATACTCTACTCATCTGGTCGTATACTCATCTTTTCAGGACTTCTACCCACTCCACAGCAAATAAAGTAGACAAACAGGTTGTGCGGCAATGCTTGCTGTGAAAGCAACATAGACTGTATTTCAGTATCCTCATTCTGGGGTTTTTAAAAAAAAAAAAAAAAAAAAAAAACACACACTGCCTTGAATTTCAACATTATATCCAAGGAAGAGGAAATGAATGGAGAATTTGACTGTATTTGATTTGGGTTAGTAATTTGGGCATTAGCCAAGAATTACTGTCTTGTTGATTAAAAACAGTTCCCCATGTTATTTCCCATAACAAAGTTCAATATTGCTCACACGAGGCTCAGCATTTTGCCTGCTAATATTACTGTTATAAAAACAGCACAAGATGCAGAAAGTTTGAAGAACTTCTCAAAACAAAAATCAAAATTAGTTTAAAAAAAATCTGCAAAAGATGCAAGTATGTGGGCAAACATGAGTTTCTGTAATTCCCCCGACACAAACAGCATAAGATTTTGCATTTTGTGACATTTAGTCCTCCCTCGATTTTGTTTCCCAGTGTAAGCCTCTTTGGAAAAGAAGAGGTATTGTTATTGTGCTCAGACATACACAAATGTACAACAGAAGTAAAATGAAACAATTTTTGGGGGGGGGGGGGGGGGGGAAAAAAAAATTTTTTTTTTTTTTTTTTTTTTTTAAGGAGACACTTTAGGTTCTTTG